ACGGAGCAGTGTTGGGCGTTAATCAATTAAATTTCAATCAATAATTCAATCAGATTAAAAAATCAATTCAATTGAAATCAATTGCAATTAAATCAATTGCGACGCGTCGCAATTGATTTAATTGCGATTGATATTAATTGCAATTGATTTTAATTGCAATTGATTTCAATTGAATTGATTTTACTTGCAATTAAATTTGCAATTAAAATCATTTCTGGTCGGTTGGGGGCCCCGGTTGGGAACTCCGCTTGGGGGCCCCGGTTGGGGTGCCGGTTGGGGGCCCTGTTGGGGGCCCCGGTTGGGGGGCCCGGTTGGAGGCCCCGGTTGGGGGCCCCGGTTTGGGGGCCCCGGTTTGGGGGCCCCGGTTTGGGGGTCCCGGTTTGGGGGCCCCGGTTTGGGGTCCCCGGTTTGGGGTCCCCGGTTTGGGTGCCCCGGTTAGGGGGCCCCGGTTTAGGTGTCCGGTTTGGGGCCCCCAGTTTGGGGGCCCCGGTTCGGGGACCCCGGTTTGGGGGCCCCGGTTTGGGGGTTCGGTTTGGGGGCCCCGGTTTGGGGGTCCTGGTTTGGGGCCCCCGGTTTGGGGGCCCCGGTTTAGGATCCCTGTTTGGGGGCCCCGGTTGGGGGCCCGTTTGGGGGCCGCGGTTGGGTGGCTCGGTTGGGGACCTGGTTCGGAGCCATCAGGCCCCTTAACTGGCCCCTAACCGGGCCCTCAACCGCGGCCCCAACCGGGGCCCCAACAGGGGCCCCCAAACCGGAGCCCCCTAACCGGGGCCCCCAGACCGGGGCCTCCAAACCGGGGCCCCCAAACTGGGGGCCCCAAACCGGACACCCAAACCGGGGCCCCCTAACCGGGGCCCCCAAACCGGGGACCCCAAACCGGGACCCCCAAACCGGGGCCCCCAACCGGGCCCCCAACCGGGGCCCCCAACTGGGGACCCCAACAGGGCCCCCAACCGGCACCCCAACCGGGGCCCCCAACTGGGGCTTCCAACAGGGCCCCCTAACCGGGCCCCCAACCGGGGATCCCAACCGGGGCCCCCAACCGGGACTAACTCACCCCCATATGCCCTATAAATTTATCATAATTGTCAGTTTTAATTGTTAATTGTTAATCAAAAACACTGAAAAGATTGAAAATTGATTAATTGTTAATTGTAGATATTTGCGATTAACGATTGATCAATTGTTAGTTGCGAGAACCGCAATTAACAATTGATTAATTGTTAATTGCGGTTCTCGCAACTAACAATTGATCAATCGTTAATTGCTGTTTCGCAATTAACAATTAATCAATTGTCAATCTTTAATTGCCAGAACAATTAAATTTTGCCCAACACTGCCACGGAGGCAGTTTAAACAGTAAAATTATTATACGTTTACATACCTTTAATAAAGGTTAGTAGTGCAAGTTAATCTAGGTGATACCTAAACTAAATAAAATTGCTCACTTGTAACTTATGTATCGAAAATTGTCTCTATCTATGGATTTTTGAAATAAACGGCAAAATTTGAACTCCGTTTTTGGACGAAATTTCTTTTTTACTCTTCAAGCGAAATGTCGAGCAATTAAAGATTATAATAAACACAATTTGTAGACCTTCTTTTAGTTATAAAATAAAGGTATATAATCATATATTGTCATATAATTTAAGTAGCAGTAGAGCTTCTTGTAAAGAAAGAGTTCGCCTGGGAAGTACTGCCAGTTTACCGATTTCTGCCGCCAAGCAGTAATGTCGTGAAGGGTAAGGGTGCTGGTGAAATTACAGGTACATGGGACTTGTCAACTTATGTCTCAGGGTGACGGGCGTAGTGGCAGTGACCTTCTTTGCGAATTAAAGTGGTACTGCTACTGTTATGGACAGCCGTGTCGATCGCTTACGCACGCTAGGAGCACGACATGTTCGCCCGACTTGTTTTTTGTGCCTACTCAACATTAAAGGAGGTTACGAGGTTACGAATTTAGCCGACGATATTGTAAATAATAAAGTCGTACCAATGTTTATTCACAAAGAGCAACCCCTAGAGTCTCTTACTCTTTCTTCTCAGGGGAATCTGCCCTACAAATAAGTAGTAGAGTTTTATAAATGTGACGATTTCAAGGGAATGCTACTTATGAAATAAAGGATTATTTGAGTTTGTGTAGGTATGTCAGTCATTATCTATAAAGAGCATCGTAACACTATCCACAGTTTTATCGACAACACTGTTTAAGTCTAGAGTTATAGTTAGTCAATAGATATACAGCAGTATTATAGTATCAGAAATGGCCGTATTGGGTGACCGTGGTCTATTAAGTACGACTAGACGGTGGACCCTGACTGATTTTGTTTCGTTATAACATTTGACTTAGTTGGGTACTGCAACATTGAGTAAATGTCACTGTATCCGTGTTATTAAAATTGCCAATACTATTGAGTCATGCATTTTTAACGCGACTTTAGAGTTCTAGGGTTTTAAACTTTAAACTAGGTTTTTCGATTTTTTTCATTTATTACACGATTCTTTGTACATGAAAATAGCAACCATATATAAAATAATTATGTACTTTAGTATCATTCCCATTCTTTTTGTCTCACCGCTCACTTAAGCAAGATAAAACAAATTTCAATGCGGTCACCACAAAAAATAATTGAAAACTCGTATTTTTTATATTAACTTAACACAAAAAATCACAAGGAAAATATATATGTATGTAGTGTAGTTTATATAGATAATTCAGATTTTTTTCAAATGCGGTAGCACCCCCTGGACAGCATCAACCAATTGCTTCCGAGGCCCCTAGGACTCTAGCGCTGACGATGTCGGGACCACTTTGGGAAACTATGATTTAAAGTAATATCACAGAAAAAAATAATAATAGGGTTACACTAATTTTGTACTGACTACCTGAATTACCCATACAAATATTTTACACGGTAGAGATACTGACCCTAAAAACATCGACACTGTAACAAATTTTCGGAGATTATAGATAATCGACTTACCGATAGTGCAATGTTTACTATAAACCGAATTGAAGCATTGGGAACAACAAGGACGTTCGGCACCCAAAACCCGTTTTGATGTTATTGCATCAAAACATGTAAAAACTATCCAGTATCTTGTGACAAAAAGTCATTTCGATCTCCCTTTCAGATGGCGTAAGTTTCACTCATTTAGAAGGAACCTTCCACTCCGCCCTTGTGGCATAGATTATAAATGTGCGTTTGAATTTCGGACACGTTACCACCTGCAGTTGTTAAATAAACTTATTTTAATGTAAAAAATGTCTGAAAAGAGCGAATTCATAAAAGTCATATTATATACAGATATTAAAAAGATATAAGACATTAAAACTTAATTTGAATTTTCTCGAATCTCACTTTTACGTGATACGCCCTTGTTACACCCAATGCTTCAATTGTAATGACGGCGAAAAACGCACGCCTTATGCTTCAATTATGGCTTTGTTTTAGTCCAATAGACAAAAGGTGCGTAGATACGCTCAGCTGATTGTGAAGCAAACGAGCTGTTACGAGCGTTGTTTATACCAATTGAATTGGAAATATTAAGACGGAAGAAACATGGGAGTAATCAATGCTATTGTTTTGTTTACGTTACGTGTGAACGATTTCTTTTAACTATTATTATATCTGGAAAAAAGGGAATTTGACAAGTAACGAATAATATGTATATTTTTAATCTTGAGGCAAAATGGGAATCAAATCGTTTGGTACAACTGGTGAACGGGCACATGGGGCTTGTCAACTTATGTCTCAGGGTGCCGGGCGCAGTGGTAGTGCCTCAGATCTTTGTGATTTCCAGCTCTGAGTGGTACTGCCACTGTTATGGAGAGGCGTGTCACTTACCATCGGGCGCACGAACTTTGACTTTTGACTTTGAATAGTCTAACCAAAAGTGTCAAGCTTGATGTGCCCCTAGACTGTACGTAACTAATAAAATTTGTAACTTGATTTAATTTGATTTAGTTTCGTTAATTAATAATAATAATAACGCACATACTCAACATTGCCCCGCACTAGGGACACTTCTTGTCGCGGGTGCCATGGACACACACATAGACAACCACAAATTACACCCAAACTCGCGATAGAAATAAATGTAGGCCTTTCAAACATTTCTCCTGGCCTGGGAATCGAACCTGTGACCTCTGCATGGCAGTCCGGCATGGTAACCGTTCGGCCATCAAGGCAGTTAATTTGCTAGAATTCATTTACTATAATTGTCATCTTCGTTTTGTAGTTAATGTGACTAACAAATATTAACTATTGTGACTGGTATGAGTATTATTAACACAAAGTTCCAACACAAAGAAAAATTCCATCGATCTGAAAGACCTGTGTGTTTTGCCAATCTAGGGCAATAGCTCTATCAATCGAACTACACACATCGAGAATATACACCTTACGAATATCTCTATAAGTTTGTTACAGGTATTTATACTGTGAGAAATCTATGAAAGTTTTTCTTTACTCAACCAGCAGCTTGATTTAGATTAACTCTCCCGATCGGAAACTCTTCCGAGTCGAGGCGCATAATTGCGATTCACAACTGGCCGATCGGAAACTTCAAATCGGAACAATAATTGATTTAACTCACAAATTAGAAAGATGAAGTAGAAATCAAGTTCATCTTCTCGCTCCGAAACCCGATTTCGAGACGAGAGATAATCAGCATGTAGGTACCTTTACATCTACCGAGGTTGACAAGAGATGTCGCTTTATAAATGGTAAAATACATTCAATAAATTATAGTCAAATTGCAAATGTTTAGTTTTTTTTTTCTTGAAGCTTATGCGAAATACCTTTACATTTTTGAGCATAAAAACTTAATCTTTAAGAGAAGTACAATATAAATAAAATTAAAAATGTATTACCGCCGTGAGACGGTAATGTAATGAAAAAGCCCGTGAGCATAATTTAGAACATTACGGTCGACTTTGCTTGCATGTCATGACACGGTTTACGAGCAAGTGTAATGAAAAAAATTAAAAGCAAACTTACTCTTAAGGATCTCATCAAGCATGGCATAAAGGTCTCTCTCTGTCTTAAGATACTCTTCGTCGTCGTAAACTGGCCAATCGAGTGAGACGCTCCAGTCCACAATGTCGATCTTCTCACCAGAGTCATCTGGGACCTTGTACAGCCTGGTAACAAAAAAAATATATTTGAAAGAAACTTTAGACACCGATTTTTGCTATTTAGTATTGTTCTTTAACCGGATGCCCCTGGAAAAGGGTTATGATGTTGACATCGACGTTTGAGTTGTCAGTATAGAAGAAACCATTACCATACATCCTGAAAACAGCGAGAATACAACTGATCAGAAGAGAGCACTTCTTCTAAATGAACTACCGTAGCAAAGCATTTGTTAGTTACGCCTCAACAATACACAAGAAAATTCTGGAATGGAGGGAGCTATTACTAGTGATGCAAGAGACCTCTGCTTCCGCAACTGCGGAAGTGCCGCACGCTTTTTCACATCTGTTTCCGTTTCTGCTTCCGCAAAAAGTTGCGGAAGCTATAAAAGTATAACGGAACTTTAATTGGAAATTTCTAACGGTCGCGATGGATCTCAGCCGCGCGCGTGTATATTTTAGCGGCAAACCACGCGTTTTCAACAGTATAGTGCAATTATGAAACCAAAGGCAAGCACTGTTTGGAACTATTTCGTTGAGATCTTTACAGTATTTACACTTCTGTTTCAGCATCCGCTTCCGTTTTCGTTTTAGGTGAATACAGAAAAGTTTAAAATTGCTTTCGGAATTTTTTAGGATTTCGTATTTCACGTTGTATAATTCAGACTTAATTTCACAAGTATGTTTATCAGATGTTTTCAAAACCTGGATAATGAATTTTATAGTGTAGAGGAATTACTTTCGACAAAATTGTAATTTAAATTTTATTTAATGTCTTTATATATGTATATAGACAATATTTCGGCCTGTTCCACTAGTCCCCACCAGCTGTCCACCCTGGTGGGGACAAGTGGAATTTTTTTACTCTTCCCTACCACACCGTCACTGGTCGTGACTATTTATATTTTTTGTCATACTGCTTTATTTTACATTCATTACTAGCTAGGGCTCGCGACTTCGCCTACTTAGAATAAGTACGACGAGTAGCCTACAAGTACTATATCAATTTTCATCGCTTTATAAGTTCTCCAGACAAACTTTCATCCCCTATTTCACCCTATTTAAGATTTATTTTCGCGACAAAAAGTAGCCTATGTCCATCTCCTAGGTCCCATCCCAAAATTCAAAATTGGTTCAATGGTTTAGGCGTGTAAACGTAACAGACAGAGTTAATTTTGTATTTATAATATTAGTTGTGATGATATTATTATGTAATGGGATATAAAGAAATAAATGATGCTATTCTATTTCGAGAAGAATGCGCTGTTCAACTCATTGTACGACGTCATAGAAGGCTATGGGTTTACATCCCTCTACACCAATTGCCTCCATCTAGGGAATCCCCTGTGTTACGAGTACCAGAGCAACATAATTCACTTTCCAGAACACCCAGACCAGAACCAATCTAGAAAAATTCATTTCCCAAAATGGTTCAATCGGGAATCTAACCCGGAATCTCCGCAGTACCTATAGTGCAACAGATAGGCCACCAAGGTCGTCTTATTGGGTGCGACTTTTTAAAAATATTAAACATCACATTGTTGCTCAAAGTAACTTAAGTTTCTTTTATGATACCAAGTGTTGGGACGAACAAGTCGTGCGCCTGATGGTAAGCGACACGCCTGTCTGTAACAGTTGCAGTGCCACTCAGAGCTTTAAAACACAAAGATCTGAGGGGCACTGCCAATGCGCCCGTCACTCTGTGACATTAAGTTGATAAGTCTCATGTGCCTGTAATTTCACCAGCACCCCTTACCTTTAAAAACCGGAACTTGGCGGCAGAAATATGGAAATCGGAAACAACGACGCTACCACAAATATCCAGACCCAAAACAATATAGAAAAATTAGTTTTCTACATTTTCCCAATCGGGGATCGAACCCGGGATCTCTCAGATGGCGACATCACGAAAACCGGTGTGCAAGCCATTCGACCAAGCAGGTCGTCGAATATAATATATTCATTATATTACTTCCTTGAAGCTTAGGTAAATATACTTGGATCTCTGGTTATTACACTTTTAGCAGCGATGTACAAAATCATTACATAATGTCGACTGTTCAGAATAGTTGTGCGACATTCGTTTTCATGCCAATTATAAAGTGAAGTAACAAATACCAACAAAAACAATTAGAGCCTTTTTTAAGTAGCATTCCGCACAATCTTGTTGGATAATTTTAATTACATTATGATTGCTTATAATGTATTGCATTGCTTTGGGTCGGTGGCAGCCAATTTGGAGAATGGTTGCTTCTTTTACAAGATTCGAGTATTGGTGGCAGCATTTTTTTTTATGATATCAAGTGACGGGACAAACAAGTTGCGCACCTGGTGGTAAGCGACACACCGCCTGTCCGAACAAATCATGCACCTGGCGGTAAGCGACACGCCTGTCCAACCGAAACAGTTGCAGTGCAGCTCAGAGCTGTAAATCGCAAAGATTTGAGAGGCACTACCACTGCGCACCATCACCCTGAGACTTAAAAGCCGTTTCACTATATTGCCACTGTTAGATGAAAAGGCGTATGGGACATTTAAAAAAAATTTTATGTATACTGCTGTGATCAGTAAAAAAGGATTTTATTTTTTCATAGGGAAATTACCACAAGAGAAGGCAGATATCTACTTAATTTCATTTCTTTAAGAGTCGACATTACCTCAGCTCCAATAATTTCGTTTTCCATACTAATACAGTTTATTTTGCTTGGGTCAAGTGGCAGGGACACTGGTTTTATTTCAGAATTATTTTTTTACAAACGAAATTACAGTCATTTGAAAACTTAATATTGTATAGTATAATAATAATAATAATATCTTTATTAACACTTTTGCCTTATAATTAGTACAGAGCAGCAATTTTATTATTTATTTAACAAAATTTTATTGCTATAGATATAATGTAGCACAAAATATAAAATAAGGCGTACCAAATTTGGAGATTCTGTCTCCTAAACTAGTCAAAGTATATTTACTCATGTTCTATTTAGTTCAGTTGATATTTAAAAAATCATTGGTATATGCACAGTTGCAATTCAGTAGCAGTAGAGATACTAGTATAAAAAAGCATCATAAACAAATAATATACTGGATGGTTACACTTTAAAAAAAATCAATATTCATGTAAACATTGTCATGTTAATAAAAACGAAATTGGTGTCAGAGCTGATAAATCAGAGATTAAAATTAATAAAATAGCTAAAACATTTGTCATGCTTGGAACATTTAATTGATGTTTTATTTGTTAAAAGATTTTATCAAAGTATTACATTTACAATAATACCTAAAATTATAATAAATCAATACGAATGATATGTCAATTCAAATAATTTACCTTACGATTATACCAAAAATAAGACAGATAACAATAGGAACTACTAAAATGCTATGTTATGTTGAATTCTTTCGCAATAAAATGAAAACTATAACTAAACTATTGTAACACAATATTTATGTGTTTCTAGAATTCATTATGTCTCTCTGTACAACATAGTTCTTTTACTCACTCATGAATCTATTGCATTGGAAAGAAGTTTGTATGTTTTAAATGAAGAGTTCACATAAAATCAGCCATCAAGTAATAGCGACAGAAATGTAATTAAGCAGATTTACAAAATGCAACCAGTAGCTCATGGTCAGTTTTTTCGTGCTAAAGAATAAGAGTACAATGGTTTTTATTTTAAAATGATATGACCAGAACACGCAAAATAGGCGCTTTGTCGTCGAGTTGCGGATACAAGCCCGTTGCACCAAGTATGACCAGAAGAATGATGTTATAATATGCAATGAGTCATAGTTAAAAAGTTTTAATGTCTATGTGAGAACTTTCATTTCAGTATTTCCTTATTTAACATTCCTCCCTCGGGAAAAGAAATTTGGTAACTATAGAAATTCGTGACTTTATGGGAGGAACAGGGACATTAGCAATTTATTCATCAAATCTTCATAATTTATGCTATAGGCACAGGTCCATGTTATTCTACATGTATACACATTGGTCATGTCTGTTAATTCTGACCTTGAAGTTATAAACCTAAAGTAAACTTGTCAGACTATGCACAGCAAATTGGCTTAAACATAACTTACATGGTAGGCACTGGCTTACATATCCTTTGAAGGACTATGTGAGTGTCCTTGAAAAGAGCTATGTTGCCCTTTAATTTCAACTTTTGTAATGACTCTCATACAAAAAATATACAAAGCAATTTTTAATAAAAAAAGGTTTATATCAAGGGCTTATTAATGCTTAACATTAAAAATATAGTATGTGTTCAATAAGTTATGTAGTGCCTATTTACTATATATGCTAGATATAAAATGTATACAACAAGAAAAATAACATAATAATAAATTGTCTGTTTACCTACCTACAATGTATTACATAGAGAATTTTAAGCTGTTATCTCCTAATTAGCAGTTGCATAGCATTTGTTTCATTATTAATATTCAGTGATTGATTTCAATCACTGGACTTTATAAATGCCGAATGATGCCAAAGTGAAATGTCGACGAATTAGGCGTACGCAAGTTGACCCAAAAACCGTAGGTGTTGGGGACACATCACAGGTCTTGCCCTGGAAAGTTTTTCAACAGCCAGGCCACTTACCACGTCTGGTCATCAGAAAAATCCATGACATCCACGTCGATCAGTTCAGGATCAGTCATATCTTTGTTTATATTATGATCAGCCCTATTCATAATATCAATAATAGAAAAACATAAATTTGGCACTGTACACAAAACACATACAAATTTCACGAAACAACTACATTTAATACGACAAATATTACAAATACAAAAGAGAACTATGAAGTAATTTACAAGAACCAGTACGAATTTGTCCCAGACAATTTCAGATTGCAGTTGGAAGTTTTTTGACAGATCACCATAGTGCCGTTTTGAACATTGCCATTTTGAGAAAAAGAAACTAAATACAATATTTAACAAATACGTGTTTATTTTACTAACAATTTGCGTAAAAACTGAGAAAATTTATATACCGTAAAATAATATAAAATTAACAAAAATGATCAAATTCCAATATATAATTGAGTTTTTTTTAAATTTAGTGTTGTCAATATTTCGCGAAAAAATTTAATGGGGAACTAAGTAGAATCTTGACGAATACTTTGAAGTATTGAACTGGGTAGGTATACTTTAATTTTACATGGGAAATATTTTTTAATTTTAATATGGCTTTAATATATAAAGCTTTATACTGAAAATTACTTTAATAGAAAGGGTACCATGAATGGAGTCAGTAAAAAAATATTAGTGACTTATCTTTGCTTTGACATGCAACTTACTCGCTATTGATATGATAATGCTATTACATAAATATAATACATTTGTTTTCAAATTTATTTATCCACCTTCAATGATATTTAGTGTTTTATTACTGCCTTTGTTTAATCCATAGAGAACTAATTATTTTAAGTTAATTGTACTGTATGGGCTGTTGGATCTAAACTTAGTGTTAATTTGATAACTAAAATTGGGTAAATAAATGCTGAAATATAAAATATTAATCGGGTGTTTAAATTTATGCTTAGGTATGTCAAATTTTGACAGCTTAAGCAACCATAGACAAAATTCCTCTTCCTTTTGTCTACGGCCACGTTGTGAGCACGTTGTATTTTCTGTAGTTTTTACGATAAAACTGCAAAAATGTCGTCTCATTTAAACTGGATGATCATTCGCAACAACAATGCCTTCCTCGTGAAGAAACGCAACATCAAGAAGCCCTTTAGTAAAGAGCCCAACAATGTGACTAACCTCAACTCATACAGATACAACGGCCTAATCCACAAGAAGGCGGTCGGCGTGGTGGAGAATCCCGACAGGAAAGGTTTTACCGTAGTGTACAAGAAGGCTAAGGCGACTAACAAGCCCGCAAAGAATGCAGTGCGTCGTCCCTATAAAGCCGGCGCAAGGAGGTCACTTTTTAAGGTAAAGAGACTGCTGAAGGCAAATCACTACCGCACTGATTTGACCAAGGCCACACTCCGTCGCGCATCAGCAATCCTCCGCTCCCAAAGGCCTATCAAGGCGAAGAAACCTAAAGCCGCGGCAGCCAAGTCGGAATAACTTTTGTATGTAAGCTGACAATAAAAAAAATTCAAAATCTCTTTTTTTCTATTATTTCTTGGCACTTTTGAAAATGACCTGCTCAAATCTTTTGTCAGGCTGCAAAACTGCATATCCATTTTGTCAATACGAGCTATTTTGATGGCAAAATTTGAGCAAAGATAGTTTTATATATCTTGCAACGACATTCTGTAAGTGTTGGGACAGTTTGAAAATTTGAAAATGATGGATTCATATTTAAAATAAGTTAACTGTCGTATTAAAATCTTTTCAGTGACATATTTATTATTATTTAAGTTTAGAGTGAATAAAACAATTTTTAAGTGACATTAAAATATAAAGAGATGGTAATGGGCCACTGATGTTTTAGTTTAATCATAAAGTCTGTTGTCGAATATTTGGATGGGCAAGCGGTTAGCACTAGTGGCACTGGGCAAGGAGGCCCAGATTCGATTTCTGGTAACACCAACTTGGGAAACAAATTTCTCTAAATAGTTTCTAGTTAGGTTTCTTAGAAAGTGCCCCAGAGCAAAGTTTGTTGCTCTGGTGCTTATCGCACAGGGAATTTTCAAGTTTGAGTCCAAGCCATTTTAAAATTTGTATAATTATCATGGTTCTCTAGTAAATAAAATAAAATACTTTTATAGAAGCTGGGATAATTTGTTTGTCACTGTTGGAAATAGAAGTTAACATAGTATTTTGTGTTTTCTTTAGTATTTGTCATGTCTGCGTGAATTCATGCGTGCACTGTTAAATTTTTTTATTTTATTAAGGGAGCTTAGAGAGACTTTTACAACATGAATTTAAATAATATGATTAATAAGATGCCAATTAAAAGCTTCCACATAAGACACAACAATTACTTTATCAGGTACTTTATAAAAGAAGTTATTAGTCACAATAGTTTTTATATTCTAATGCTGTTAATTTTGTCATATAAAATATCTCTTTGCATCACTAATAAGTTGCATACCCTAAAGTTGTACCAATAGCTAGTCAATTAACATTAAAGTATAAGTTAATAATAAGTCCAACACCTAAGGAGCAATGACAGATTTCTTGGCTGCCATTTTGGGTAAGAAAGGGCCTGTAGACAACCTCCTTGTATGTCAAACACCCACATGTTCAACCACTGAAGCTTAACACAAAATTTCTAAAAAAGAGGATGATGAGTATGTTAAATGCATCGAGTATATAACCAGAAAGTTAGTATGACACTTGATTTAAACTCTATGCACCTTACGCTTATGACGTTGCAGTGTCATGCTTCATGTGATTAAAATAATAATCGCAAAGTATTTGTATCAACTCTTTATTTAAAAAAAACACGATTTCATATCACAAAGAGAAGTGGAATGTATATGTATTTATGTTACGACTAAAGCCTCTTTATCTGAGGTTAGATACCTCTTAAGTTCATGGCATTCTGCTTGCATCACTCTTGACTTAATCTACTACGTTAAAGTGCCATAAGTACAAATAAATTCTTGTGATGTCTATTCAGGAATAAATAACGTTATGGACTATGTTCCCTTCTTGTTCAGAACACCTTGAAAATATATCTTTTGGCTTAAGTTTTAAATGTATGGATGAAGAAGATATTTTCTGTTTAAAAGCCTGTAGATAACATTCACATATACAGGAATATTAACGACGCAAAAAATTCAAACGTTATAACTTTAAAAACAATAATAATATACAAATGATCTCTATGGTTCAAAATTTAGCACTCATAATGCTTTTATTGTGAATAAGCCTGAGAAACAACTTTATACATGATTTCAAAATGAGTTAAGTTTTTATTACAGTGTATTTTTTTATAATAAACAGTTACACTTTTAACAATGTGAACACATTACAATTATTTAATAAATAAGTGGACATTGGTGTCAATTCTGATGCGCTGTCTCCTAAACGTAAACTAATTTAACAAGTTCAGAATTAAGGCTTTTTATATAGATCATATTTTTTGAGTAGGGAAGTACACAATTATGTACTTATACTGCATGAACCTATGTACAGCTGGACAGAGGTGTTCTTTAAAGTATAGGTTAGGTGGTAATTTACCATACTAGCCCTCTATTAATTTACAACATTTTGGTCAATGCTTGTGAGCAAAAAATTACAAAAGCGGACCTTTTGTACGCTAGACTGTAATCTCTTTGTAGACTGTCCGTTATATGCCAGATAATAATAATGTTAATCTTAAGTTAGACGCCAAAGATCTCCAGCAGAACTAGCATGACCACAAAAGATTCTCAAGTGATTCAGATTTCTTGAAAGTGATGTGATGTCACACGAGCATGACATGCGCGCACAGGTATGCTGTAGTCAGTAACAAAATTGAAGTATCTCAACTTTTGCAATACTGGTCTTTTTGCCTTTTCTCTAAGGCTAATACAGTTTGATGTGGAAACCACCACCGAAACTATACAGATTATATAGTTTAATCACCAGGTAAAGTACGTGTATATTGTACAGAATCATGGCCACTTCCTTAAAATCCGTAAAAGCAAGTTAAATATATTTTTTGACTTTGTCAAGTTAGTTTAGTTTAAAAAATATACAACATAATCGACGTTTTATATTTATAATGTAAATCCAAGTGCTTCAAATATTTTATAAAATAATTAGGTAAGTACATTTATATTTTATAAATATTCAGTGTACATTATTTACAATACAGATCAAAAAAAATCTTTACAATTAATTAATTTGTAGCAAATAAAATGTGATATGCACAAAACAGAGGTGTGGCACGATATGGAAAATTCTACTTTACGTACATAGGGACAGAATATATTCACAAATGCATTATAATATTAGTAGCCCGATTTTTTACTTTACAAATTCCTTTGTGCTTTAATATCTACTCTTAACAATCCTACTCAACTAAATTCAGACTAGGTTTTATGTTGGACTTAAGTCCATCAAATGTTGAGCTGAATTTGAGGCGGACAGCATTAGATATTGGTGATTATTACTATTTACAGATTTCCAACCACTGCATGACCTTTTATTCTTTTCCGGTATTTTAGTAAATATGATGGGTTGGTTACAATGAGTTATAGTAACTCATTGTAACCAACACCGCACGAAATCAAAATGAGGGTACGCGACGACACGTAAGTGGATTTAAATATAGACGCTTAGGCTGGATTTACATTGCTGCGAAACGGAATGGAAGCTGTTTTACTAACCGCAGCATAATAAACTTTACGTCAATTGTGTAACGTACAAACTAGACGCGAGCTAGATCACAGTTGTGTGTCGATAGAGTGTCAATGGCAGGCTGTTGAACTGCTAAAAGTTTGAAGTGGTGGCTAATAAGTGGCAAGCCATCGAGCTACTACTCAACTGCCATTGATTTTTTTTGGTATTCTACTCTTCAATGGCGAGTCGATGGTGTAGTGTATTAATATTATAAATATTTAATTTGAATACTAAATGGCTGCTTAAAGGAGTCAAAAATTAAGATATACGTAGTAATTTCCATGGTAATTTTGGTAAGGCAACATCGTTAGCAATTGTACGAATGAATGAATATGCCATTACTACCATTCCACTGAGACTCAACTGCCATTGCGACTACTACTTTTTTGGCTCGTGTGTGAGTTTGTACGTTACATAATAAAGAACATTTTGCTACAGTCATAAACATTCGCTTCCATACAGCGATAATGTAAATTGAACTTAACATGAAACCATGACCATAACAATATTGTGTATAGTTAGCGATGGACTAGTAAATTTGTAAACAAATAACATGGCAAAGCTATCCAAATTAAAAATCGAATATTATCATTGTGGTTACAGACTGAACAGCTCTGCACAAAACGAATTATTTTTCTACATGATCTTTATTCTAATAGCTATTTTACTACACATCCATTTACACTACTTTCTATAACTACACATAGTTTATTCGAGTGGTTTTTTGAAAAAAAAACACTGAAAATATTTTGGTTTTCAGGGTCATGATAATATCGATAGATTATCGATAATTTTACCACTGGCGTGGAACACTATTTTTATCAAAGTTGTTTAATGAACAAGTCATGATTACAGATTCTAGCCTCTACCACTGTAGCAGCAAAAAACTCAGGTACATAATAATAAAAGACGTAGAAACAGAAAGGCACACACATTAAACCTATGTTTTATGAAAGGCACAATACAAGAAAATTTACAACAATATTTGTGCATAATATAAATGGCATGCATGTATATGTTTTGCATTATTACAATCTGTCAGGATTGTACAGGTCATTTATATTCTTAATCATATTAGTTGTTGAAGTAAAAGTAAGTTTTTTTAAATCTGAATAAAAAAATATATAATCATTGTGTGTCTCACTCGTGATAGAATGGGTGATCTGTAAGGCTCAATGTACATTGCGGCGGAACGGAAGCGTCAATGTCCTGGAATGCTCGAGCATAGTATTTCGTCGACGTCACACTGCGCCTGCCTTCGCGCCACTTCAGCGGATTCACCAAGGGTCGCCGATGGCAGCTGCGGAATTCTCGAGCATTCGCGAGAATTCCGCGGAAGACGCGTGACGTATTTAGTGTATATGACGTAGTTTGGCTCGTATCTACGTTTGTACGTATACCATAATTGACCATAAAGTTCGTTACGCTATGTTGTACAATATCGTTACAAAAATTCGCTTCCGTTCCGGCGTTATAAAAATTCAGCTTAAGGAGATGGTTTAAGCCATAGTTCGCCTTGCTGGTCCAATAGGTGTTTCGTTTTAACAAGTTTTCTAAAGGGTTGTAAATATTCTTTGACATTCTTATTGTGCTAGTTCCATGCCGCAAGTCAAAACTACTACTACCACATTGGTTATTAAAATACAGCTCTAATGGCGTATTTACGCTAGGTCGATAACCTAACTAACCTAACCTGTCGCAGTCGATTGAATCGGGCGACTTGGTCGCCTTCGGGGAGCGACTGTGGACCAAACAAGTGTCAACGTGTCGGCGGCCGCGTTATAGTAATAATAACGCATACACTAATAGTTCCGCTCTAGAAAATCTCCGTGCCATGGAAACACACATAGACAACCACAAATTACACCCAAACTCACGAGAGAAATAAATGAAGGCCATACAAATATTTCTCCGGTCCAGGTATCGAACCGTGGCAGACCAGTATGGTAACCGTTCGGCTACGAAGACTCGTATTCGCTTACCGAAAAGGCGGCAGTCGACGCTGTGTAAACACGCCATACCGTTAACGTATTTCAACATATTCTAATCAATATTTAGTTAGATCTGTACATTACGTGGACGAAAATACACCGACAGATTATAATAAATTAAAAAAATACAATACATTTACAGTCCCACTACATTTAAAATTCCATTAATTACATTATATTGTGTAACAATCCTAAATTTGACAATACATTGGGTTAAAATTACCCTTTACCACATATATATTCTTTTAATTAATTTATTTTACTTAATGAATACACACATTCTACAAGCTCGTAGTTATTGACGCATTTGTTTTATATATTTTACAATTATCTTTTATAGTTTCAATTTTAGCTATCTAACACATATTCTATTATAGGCACACATTTAGTTATTATTATTTTGTTTCTTTAATCTCATTTAATAGAAAAACAAAATGATATTCGAAGGTGACGAGGCAGTGGGCACATAAGTTATTGTCAAGACAATACAAAAATTTAATTCATAATTTAGCATAAAAATAAATCGGTAATTTGTTAAAACCAATAACAAACAATTTATTATCTAAAATTAAATAATGTAAAGAATAAGTAGTTAATGAAATTAATTCAGAAATTAATTTTACTTAACTTTTAAATAGATAAATGGTTTAAGGAACATACACATTTCTTTATTTACAAATGTCTACCACGATTAGATTCTAGGAATAAAGACATAGAAAGTTCTGTAAATAGATATTTTTGCAAAATTACGCGAAATGTTTTATAATTACTTGAGAATATTTTTTTATTGAAGTAGTGTTTTTTTGTTTAGTTCTATCTAACATGGACTTGAGCCATAGATAATACTGCCTGGACTTATTATTATTCGTTTTTTTTTCTAAAGAAAAGTACAGAAGACTTGTCACGAAGATAGCACAAAAAGTTTGCCTTTCTCGTTCAGACATCTTAACATGCGCAAGTGAGATGACTATAAAGACGTCATTATTCATGATTAACAGAGCACCTTGTACAGTACTCAACATTAAGCAGTCAAAGTAAAATTCAACCTAATTTATCATTGTCGGGTTACATTATAAATAAAAAGTATTATAAAACTAAATTAAAATAATTAAAATATGCGTAATGACTAGTAATAATTAAATTAAAGTTTATATTACATAACTAAGTTGATATACTTAAAATATTTTGTACATATATTTCATGAAACAATTGATGATATAGAGTTCTTAGGTTTTAGAGATTGTTAGTTGTTACTTCTAAATCACGTAATTTGTTTTCTTCAAACAAACCAACGTTCAAAGCCCTTTACATGGTCTAGTCCCGTTCTCTGTCCGACATTCGTCCGTCAAGACTCTAACCAAGTTATACAACTCCATATTCGAATCAGAATTTATTCCCTCACAATGGACAAACAACTAAATTGGAGGATGTCACCACAAAAAGCGAAACACTAAAGTGGACTGGCCACATGTACAGGGAAAGAGTAGAAAAGTGGACCAGCAAGGTAATAGAATGTTTACCAAGAAAAAATGTCAAGAGAAAAAGAGGTCGTCTCTTGAAAAGATGGTCCGATTACTTTAAAAAAAAAGCTGGACCTCTATGGGACTAGGCTGACAAGGGACAGAGCCAGATGGATAGAGGTGGGGGAGACCTATGCGGCTTCAAGATGCGCTCATGTTATAGATTAAGTAATTCATTAATATAATTGTCAATATAATTGAATTGTCAGTATATTATAGGTTAATAAATCGACTCATCCGAAGAACTGAGTCCGATGTGATTATATAGCGAAAAGAGAATAAGTATGTTACGTACGTAAAGCTGTTTAGAGAATTTATATCGGCCCCTCCTACGTAAAGTATCGTATGTCGAAATTGTCAAGTTTACTGGGGAGCGTTTTCCGTTTCATTCGGCAAACCTTGTTACTCACATAGAGTTATCATCTAATAGATCATCTAAACGATATCTAGGATTTTATGATACTCTATGTGAGTAACGAACTTCGCCGAATAAAACTGAGAAATGCTTAAGTCACGTGTTAGGCTTATTTCAGTGAATTCAGAACTTTAAAAGACTCCCCTGTAAACTTGGCACTTTCGACATATGATACTTTATGTAGGAGGGGTCGATATATCTTATTCCATTTCAGAAATATAAAATCGAGCAACCGTCGATCTGACATCCGCAGCGATGAAGAACGAACGAAATGTACTATGTCCTGAGAACAAGTAGTCTTGCATATAGATCTTTGTTCTACGGATGAGTCGAAATAAATAAAAGAGTAATATTCGTCCAAAATAAGGGATGATGTCAAGTATAAAGCTTCATTCGCATCGTGCCTCTTATAATTTGGTCAAGTATTTGACAGTAATTGTTTTGGACGGAGAACGGGTAGACACCCCAGTTCCGACGACTGACAATTAAGTAGAATCACTGGATGATAGGCGGAGAAAAACTGTTTTAACTTATACACTTACTTAGATATTGTCTAAATTTGTTCCGCGATAGGATGTAAAGAAAACAGGCTGAAAGTCTAAAACGAATTATTTAAGAAGAAAATATCTCAAACTTTGCACAGTTCTACAGACAGAGCTTGTTAAATTTTAGGTTTCAATTGAAGCCTTACAGTTATTAAATTCACATTTTATCCCAAGACTTATAATTGCCCAGCAGTTTAACTACACGATCTGTGTCAAATGCTAAGGCTGGTTTCACGGCTGTGCGTACGGTCCGTACGGACTGCCCGCCTACGGGCCATACGCTGTGCTCTAAATCGAGTATTGAATTTAGTGCGGATATTTACGGAATACAGGTTCACGTGGAGCGTGTTCCGTACGGAACAATCCGCGTCACAGTAAAACGGCGTTCTAACGCGACACGTATTCTCGTGCTCCGCGTGGACGGTCCGCAGATAAATCCGCACTGCTCTGAAACCAGCGATAAACATATAATTTTTCTGCAAGCGGATTGCGGGACGCGCGAGTGGTTCCCCCACATCTCACCTCCTAAAATCAAAATTCGCGATCAAATACCTCACCTTAACACAGTCAACCGTGATCTGCAAAGGGTTCGAAACGTCGGTTTGTTTGAAAAAAACAAATATACGTGATTTAGAGTCGAAAATATGGTATCATTTCCAACAATTATTGACTCAATGTGATGTTTAGATACAAAATAGTAAAATAAAGGGAGATCAGTTATTTTTGAACCCTGAAATTGTGGCGGTAATTGATTTATACATCCATGCTGCGCTCCTCTTAACTTCATTTTTTAACCGACTTAAAATTATTTTTTTAATGTATGTTACGGGATAATTCATTGCATGGCATTTGTGAACCGTTTTTGATCATTCTTTTTTTGTTGGAAAGAGTGGACCTCAGTAGTGCTTCCATTGTAATTTAAAAAATATATATCACCTCTAAGAGTGGGAAACTAGGGATGAATCAGGTTTCGCGCACTTTCCGGTAACCGATTTTAATAAAACTTTGCAAATAGATGTATTTCCACGAACTTTTGAGGTTGGTTTTTTAGTACTCTGTACTGATGCTTTATTTTCTTAGGAAAATGTCAATTGCGCTGAATTAGCTTAACAATAAAACCGAAAGTAAATAAGCTATAAAGAAACCGCTGATAGGGTGGCTAAAGATCTCGATTCACCGATAGATATGTCAGCAATTCAATTTCGGTAAAATGTCGATTATGTTAGCAAGGAGGGTACTATATTTGTGCTGTTAACACAAGAAATACGTAACTTAGTAACCTTTACTATTTCATATTAGCAGGTACATTGAAATCAAAATATTTGATTTGTACTATGCACTGGTTATTTGTGATAATGGAAAGTAATTACAGTCAACGACAGAACTTATCAGAACCGAAAAGTAACTACGCTGTACGATCACGTACACTGATGTCGGAAGTGGTGCAATTTTTACGGTGACTGCAAATGGTTCTGTTAAGCTAATTCTGTCCTCAACGTACATAATGAAGACATGGAAGAAAATAACAACTATCCCTATTGTAATAAAAACACCGTTAAAAGCCTCAATGTGCTTAATTTGATACACTATAACAGTACATTCGTGTTAAGACTACAGTACGAAATTTAAACTGACCAATCCCAGTGGATTGGTATCACGTGAAATGCAGTAGGAAATACAAGTTGGCCAATCACAGAGCTGTAACGGAATTTAACCAATCCCATTACACTATAGTAGCAGTAGAGCTTCCTGTGATAGAGTGAGCTGGTGAAACTACAGGGTAATTAGGACTTATGACCCTGTAATTTCACCTTTGTGAACTTGTCTCAGGGTGACAACTGCAGTGGCTGTGCCCCTCAAATCTTTGCGATTTAAAGCTCTGAGTGGCACTGCAACTGTTATGGACGGGAGTGTAGCTTACCACCAGACGTACAACTTGCTCAACCCCTCACTTGGTTGGTATCATAAACCATAAATGAACTTTGTGTCTGGGCGTGACAGGAGCAGTGACAGTGTCACTCGGATATTTGCGATTTAAAGCTCTGAGTGGCACTGTAAGTGTTATAGTTAGGCGTGTTGCTTACCACCAGGCGCACGACTTTTTCGTCCCGTTACTTGATATCGTACAGCATTTTACGTTATTGGTTTATACAATCTATTCTATGACGTCACATGTCACCAAAAAAATACTAAATAAAATAACGTTCACAACACAACATAATTCTAGTTCAAGCACCAAAACAAAATTGTGCGCGCGTTTACAAAATACATTATAGGTTTTAGCTGGTCAGTGGATTGACCACTATAATTTGTCCTAATTTTGTCCATTGCAGATCTTTAGCTGCACTTGTGTAAATGTTACTTTTAAACCTTAGTGTCTTTATTTTCATGAGCTGTGTTTACAATAGCGCCTTTTTTGTTCTTAAATTAAAAAATGCATTAAATTTATTACAATGTAAAAATCATTACTGATCGTTCAGTACAAAAATAAATAAATAGATAAATGCTAAACATAATTTGAATACAAAATGCATGTTTCTTTCAATACATCTGTGCACATTTCATTACCGAAATTAATATGACCAGTCTAAAATCTAATTTAAAAGTAAAGTGATAAAAATAGCGCCACCTTTTGAATAAATTTGTAAATAACTCTGTTTACTCCAAAATGCCAAAAGATGGCGTGGGCACCGAAATAAAACAAACGCTTTAATACAAGTTTGTCGTACATTGGTTGTTTCTTTTGAGGATCATTTCTTTGCAATTAACTAAGCAGCCAAACTCAATTTGAGAAATGTGCACAGGTGAATTTGAAATTTGGTATTGGAATTGTAAATAAATGCAAACATTTCAATTTCAAATCGCATACAATTCTTACTCGCAAGCAAGTTTACTATCAAACGAACTGAGCGCAATGCCAAATGCTTGCAGAGCGCAAAGGGGGTATCGAAAGTCCATAGTGAAGACGTCTTCGGCTATTCGACCGAATTGCATAACGACGTAATCGGGTTCCGCGTCGTGTACGATTTGGAAATTTTTCACACTAGCTTGCGTTACCCTGCCATGGAAATTCAGGACGTAGGACTGAGTTTCGTCGTTCCATACAGGGGTTTTATTATGTAAAACGACGATATCATCCAAACTCTGAGTTTTCAATCGTTCGAGGAGCGTTTCGCTGTCATCTTGAGGCGCGATGGTAACGCGTTGCCTTTCGGGCGTCATACCCGGCAGGATGACAGTCATTTTACGAGGTCCTTTGAAACCTAGGACGTTTGTATCCTGAAAATAAAATTATATTGTACAAAGAGCAGCTTAAAACCCTAACAGGATCTTGAGGTACAAAGGGAATTGTCGTCGGTGGCAAACGCCTAACGAATTTAAGCTTTGCGGATGACATAATTCTGTTTATCCAACATAACAGGAACTACAACAGATGCTCCAAGAACTGAGCACGGCAGGTCTTGAGGTTGGACTTCACATAAACCGGTCCAAAATACAAATAATGTCTATCAGCACGGAAGACAGGATCGAGGTCGACGGGCAGGAAATCCAGTATGTCGATGAGTATATCTACCTGGTCCAGGGAAGATAAGGAAACCGGTCGTCGCTTAGATAACGCCTGGAAAAACTATTGGTCCTTGAAGGAATACTTGAGGGGTATGTCATTTAAGCACGAGTTCCAGAAGTCTAAACTCTAGATCTGCCAGAGGGCGATGGAACGCATCATTCTGGGCTTTAAACTATTCACCAAAGGCATTGCTGATGTGGGTAGCAAAACAGCCAGGCTCAAATGGGATTGGGCGGGCCATATTAGCCGGATGCAACCTGAGAAGTGGGCGAACGTCGTGACTGCTTGGGTGCCCGAGGGTGGAAAGAGACGGCGTGGACGGTCGAGAAGGTGTTGGCGGGACGATCTTAATAATAATAATATAATAACGCACACACTCAACATAGCCCCGCACTAGGGAAACCCTGTGTCGCGGGTGCCATGGACACACACATAGACAACCACAAATTACACCCAAACTCACGAGAGAAATAATTGTAGGCCATACAAATATTTCGCCCGGCCCGGGAATCGAACCTGGGACCTCTGCGTGGCAGTCCGGCATGGTAACCGTTCGGCCACGGAGGCAGTTTCTTGATGGGCTTGAGAGGGAATGGTGGGAGATCGCTACAGACAGGGACCAGTGGAGGACTTTGGGGGAGACCTTTGTCCAGCAGTAGGATATAATGGGTTAATAAAAAAAGAGCAGCTTGTTGTGACCCAAGTAGAGGACCAGATTACTTAACAGTTACTATGTAACAGATACAATACTCTCACGTAAATCGAAAATACCTACGCTATAGTAGCCTACTAAATCTAACTAATGACGTCAGTCGTGCGAAACCGAATGCTCATAAAAGAAAGACGTCGGCGCACTCAGCGGTAGGCTCTTATAGCGTAACATTTACGATAAGATACAAGCTTCATCATCTCGACATCAACTAGTTTAAAGTGTCATAATTTATACAATTTGCGTGAAACCATTTTACGACCTCGGTGGCCCAACGGTTGCACTGTGAGCGTTGGATGGGGAGGTCCCGGTTTCGATTTCCGGTAGGACCAATTTCGGGAATGAAATTTTCTAAATTGGTTCTGGCCTGTGTGTACTCCAAATACCAAAATGAACTCTTTTGCTCCGCAGGGAATTACTAAGTTTGAGACTAAGCGGTTGGCGTGGTTGCCTGGCACATTATTATTAAGTATTTTGGGAAAAGATTGGGAAGCATTCTCCAACCTCATTTCCTATTTGATTATGCTCAGAATGTGGGTAATAATTTCTTGGTTCTTCAGCCGTTACTATTCCTTAAATATTCTTTTCCTCTGCAGGGCAAAAGCTTGCTCTGTAAAAAGAATAGTAACGGCTCCCTTTCCTTCCTCCAAAATAAAGGGTTTTCCATTATGGGCGGGTAGATTTTGATAGTTCATAGCGGCTATGTTGTTAAGGCTGTTTTTGTCAAATCAGTTGTTTTTTAGTTTCAGTCACTAAAGACAAATCATCATGGCAAGTTACAGCGTTGAATAAACAATTCATTACCAAATAAAGGAAAGAACGAATGAACCTAATGCGAATTCTACCGATTTAGTATTCGCAATAAAAAAATAAATTCTAATAATGGCAACCATAACTTTAGCAACTGGAATAAATATTACACGGGGAGGTTTATCAAGGATTTATCACATATTGCATGCCATGCTACGGCCGCTGATATGTTAATAAATCAATTTAGCTAAAAATATCGATTACGTTGTTTATGATAAGGACGGCAGACTTATTGACGCGCAATAACATTAGACCGGTCAGAAAACCTTTTATGTCCATGCAATAAGAGCGAAAAAGACGCACAAGCGTTTCACTTCGGGTCAGACAAAGCGATTCGACACAGGTCTACATATGAATCGGCGTCATACGAATTTACAATTGCGTTCGTACAGCACCGATGAAGCCCGAGCGGCGGCGTGGACGGCCGATTGGCTTTAGGGCGCGTTCCCATTATGTCGTAACATTTTATTTATCGTTAGACGACTGTCGCGTCTAGGTGTTTCCACCAGATCGCGACGACAATTTATCGGGTCACGGCAGCTGTCTAGTCGTTTGTACGACAGAATCGTTTGAAACTACGATTATGTGTCGTCACATTTTTATCGTGACTTTTTATTTATCGCCAGACGACTGTCGTTCAAGCTCTTCCCATTATCACGAGTCTGTCGTCGTAACGTCAAAAAAGTTGTGAACGACAGTTAATCGTGCTTTATTATATGTGAACAACCTCATTTAAATATACAAGCCACGACACTTTAAACTGCGCGACCAGTGGCGGATTTGCAGTTTTAGCCGCCCTAGGCCCAAGGCCATGTAGTCGGTACCAGCCGCCCCTTTCTCAGCATTCATTTACCTACTGGTAGACATATCTATATTTTATACATAAAATGTACGAAAGTGATTTAGAAAGATTATAGTCATACGATGCGGTGTAGTGCGACTCGCCATAATGTCCGTGAGCCTTTAGAACATTTAGGTACTTTATATTTATTTCTTGTTATTATTATTTTGATCATATCGAGGCGACATGCCTACAAACATCGCCACAGTAACATGGCGATCGTTGTACATACAAGATCTCTCGTGAAACGTGAAAATGCCAAGTTGTAGCGATACACCTTGTAAAAAGCAAAAATTTTAAAACCAGTGAGATAACATTCCACCGGCTATTTGGATTTTTAGTTACTATTTCTATTATTATTCAATGTTTTCTTTTTGTCTCGTTTGTAAGCAGGTAACTTTAAGTATGGATATTTGTATAAAAAAAGAAATTACTTACATATACAACAGCTGCCAACTCACACCTCGTCTTGGTATGGTCATGCTTTCGCCACGCTTTGCCATTATCGTACACAGTGAACGCTGTACCAAGGAGGTTAGACCTTAGTTTCCCAGCGAAACTGTCCGCGGTGCGGCTCAATTCTGTTGGATCCGTGGATATGAGATAATTCGACGTTGCGGATTTTTTACGTTTACGAGCTGCAAAAATGAGGAGATTAATCAACCGTAATATTACCTTTTTACGTGAAGGTTATACTTTAAAGTAGTTCTTTGCGATGTCGAGGAATTTCGAGAAACTAATTTATATTCTACTGGATTGGCGACTAGAATGACAATGGCATAATATATGCAGTCTATATGTTTGAGATTGAACCATAAGCGCACGTGCACACGGCACGAATTCAATCGCGCGGCCGTCGCGCGGCGACCGCTCAGTTACCACGCCTTCAATGAAGAATCTGAATATCCGCCCGGCCGCCGGCGACCGCGCGGTAGATTTCTTCAGAGGAATTTAAATGTTGTTGCCTAGTAAATAGAATTCAGATTCGTCATTAATGTACATGAAGACGTGGTAACTGAGCGGTCGCCGCGCGATGAAATTCGTGTCGTGTGCACACAGGGTTACAATACCATTGTTTAAATCACATAGTGATAATAAAGAAATGTGATAGGTTTGTTTCAATGTCATTGCCGTATCAGGTGATAATAAAGCTACGCGATTAGTCTGTTTCAATTGTTTAGTTCATATCGCGTCATATTAGGGTCATTTGTCGTTCCATAAATGGTACTTCATTTATACATCTAACCTAGATTAAGACTATTTAAATATATTTTGTACAGTATCTTCGCTTTGTTCGACAAAGGAACGGCCAGAATACTGTTACACCACCTAGTCTGTCGTATGTTAACCACACTGCCCAACTATCTCCTGATTCTCTCGGTCCGAACACATTCCATTAAAACGTGGTAAACGTCCTCAATGACGCCGCAATTGCTACAATATGGAGTTGGTGTAATGCCCATCAAAAAGGTATAAAAAAAAATCAAATTTTTTAAGGAATATGCACAGAGCGCAACCTCAGAGCCGTTACAACACTAAGTCTATTCAGTATACAGTTACAATTGAATTCAGGTTGAATTGTTTTGAAAATTTACCTGCTAAGAGAAACACTTTCTTGCCATAATCCTTTTCCAAATGCAGGAAGTATGTTGGATACAAGCCACGGTCCATGCCTTTCCTATCGCGGGCTATCCGGCACTTGTACAAAGTGCCATGTTTAGCTGGAGTCACTACGAATGTTTCTACCGCTCCTTCTACCGATCCTTCTACCTCTGGTGCCTAGAAATATTGAAATGGTATTAAAAAAATATTTTCACGAAAGTTTTTTTCATTAGTATAATCATTTCTATAACTAGTAAGTCCACGTTGTTGACTTGTATGGAAAACTGTAATGTGCAAAGTAGCTTTGAATTCTGTGCTTTTAAACTTCCATAGTTTTCAATAGAACAACTTCTAAGGGCCGGATACCTGTTTTTAGTAGCAAAAAATATGACGGCCTGCATTACTCGACGAGTTTAAAAAACGGCTTTAAAGGAATTCGCAATTTCAAGAGATAACAGAAATACGAATAAAAATATAATAGACGTATGTGTCAATCGTGATCCGGGTTATAAGCTTCTAAATAACCCGATCATTTTACTGTTTCATGGGTCATGCGCGCAATATTCGATTTTATCACTATAATTTTAAAGATTATTCAACAATTCACATAACACTCAATCTGGAACTGCCAATATTATTGTTATCTCGTTCACTCTCACGTGAAGTTCCCACACACGACACGGTTAGCCTTCTCACTCTTCGTTTGGGTCGAACATTCGTTCGATAGAATCTTCTTTCGATCAACCAAAAACTCAAGCAATCGATCAACGGGTCAACGGATCAACGGTTCAATGAGTATATCAATAATTTTTGTAAGTTTAATCTGTTTTTTTGTACGTTGTGATTATTTATGAGTGCACTAATATATACTCTGAGCTAATATTAAAATAATAATTAATAACAAATTAGTAATTTTTAATGCTCATAAGTTTTTATGTATTTTTGTTTTGTATGTGTTACTTTTCTTAGACAGAAATTTAGTGTCCTAACTGTGGTTTATCAATGATGCATTTAACTTTATGCACATTACCCATCAGCAGGTAAGAATAAAAGGTAATTGTATAATTTGACACTTTAAACGCCATATGGAAGTATCATGAGCGACGAGTGACCCGCTAAAAGATCGAACATATGATCGAATCATTTGACCCGATCACACGCACGGGTCATGATCGACCCGGGTTATAAAAATGATTGACCGAAACAGGTCTAATGTACAATGTGAATATAATATGTTTTTAAGTACAAGTTGCTTTTATTTTTATTGACACAAAGATCTACAACACAAAGAAAAATTCCTTCGGTCTGACTAGACTTTAACCAGCGACTGTAGCCACGCCGGGGTTGTTCTTACGAACTGTGTGACTGCGATAATAATTGCAGTTCTTGATTTGCACCACAAACAAACAAATAAATGCATTCTATTCTTGAAACAGCTTAGTTCTAAACAAAGTTTAAGTAATTGTTTTAAATTACAATACATTGTTTAATGAATGTTAGAGTGTGAAATGTCCCTTTATATTCAAAACAGACTTAGAAAGAAAATTTATTACATCTGTCTTTTTTGGAGACGGAGTAAAATTACAGGTAGTTGTTGTCGAGAGTTTTATCGACAGATTGTGAAAGAAGATAACAATTTGCCAAAAATGTCTGAATTGTGAATGTTACGACGATCTAATGATTACTAATTGTGTTATTGCCTTCTTAATTCTTATTATGACAGTTGGCCTACTAGTATCGAAATAAAGTTTTATTCATATTCATTTTAACACGAAGAGGCACGATTTGATTATCTATATTGAATTAAAATGAAAACACTTTAAAATGTGTCTTCTTTGTGTATTTTTAATAGCCATAGTTCTAAATGTAGTGTATATATGTATGAACTTACAAAAATTGACAATGCAAAGAACCTGTGCCCAGCAGTTGGACGACTAACGGGCTGATGATGATTAAAAAAAAGTTCGGCTATTTATTGCATAAGCGTGACCAACATTGAGTCGATAGTCGATAGAAAATTTATTTACTGCAATCACTAGCTGCTTGCAAGCGAACAACACTTGCGCAATAAACTGTCATCTCCATAAAAGACCGACTGTAGGTCTAATTTTCTTTCAAGAAATATATAATAATAACTTAAAGATTCATAACTAAACATTGACGCTGATTTTCTGTAGCGTTTGTGGAACAGAGCCGTTTGATAGAGCTATGACGTTTTAGAAGTAATTAAATACCTGACTGGGTGATAAATCTCTCCTCAACAGGCGCGGCTGCATCGGCGCGACCGCGGCGTCGGCGCATACGTCATCAGTGCTGACGTCACGTCCTACGCTGCACACAGGAACGCTCTCTTCTTCCTCCTCCCCGTCACCATCCAAAGTCCCACCATCGGAATCCCCTACTGTTAAGACTTCTATTTGGTTGCCCAAGTCTGAAAATTTAGTAAATTATTTATATTAACTTTAAATTAATTTTTGCAACTTTTTTAAATTGTTGTAATATTTTTAACCGACTTCAAAAAAGGGTCTCCGGCTATTTTTTTACGTGAATTACGCGATTTTTGTGAACCGATTTTGATGATTCTGATAAGCAGGTTCCTCAGTAAGCGGTCACATTTAAATTTGATTAAATTATTTTACTTAGTGTGGCTAATTAGGGGAGGAATCCGGTTTATTGAATTTCACCCTCTTTCCACGAACAAAGTGAAAGCGGACAAGTGAAGTTTCGAAGCCGGTTTTTTTTTTAGCAAAAAGTTAAAGTATTCCTTTTAAATTTTGCCAACATTGACTATTTTCTTTAAAAAAAACAAATATGTTCTACAAAATATCGGTACGTTTCTAAGACATATTAAAACGATGTTAGTTAACTTAGTATTTTACTTAGGTGAAATTAAGGCACATGGCTCTTGTCAACTTATGTCTCAGGATGACGGGCGTAATGGCAGTGCCCCTCAGATCTTTGCGATTTAAAGCTCTGAGTGAGAGTTACAGCATCAGTCGCGCGGCTTATTCGTCTCGTCACTTGATATTATTAAAAAAATGTAAGAATAATTTATAAAACAATGTTTACTGTAAATTATATCACAATTAGAATATCAAGCACAAAAATCCTAAAATTAAATACAGATTTAAAAAAAGAACCCGTGGAATGATGACAACAAAAACTAATTTTTGTCAAAAATTTACGCCCTTTCTTCCCCGACCATTCGATTTATTTTGTTATTACCAAAGTCCTTACTAACAAAATGGTTATATTATTGATTTGGAAGAATTAAAATTATGCAGCTGAATTTCGATAGGTGTGAATTAGCTTATCCAAGTAATTGGTGTTAACGAAAGTGGGTCAACTACGTGTTAAAACAGTTAAAGTTACTATAGTAGAATATACACTGTATAATTCGAGGATTACAGCACAAAATACTTGATAGCGTACAATTAGCTACAGCCACAATTTTCCATGTCTTCTATCCTAATTATAACAATAAATTAATAATAGGAAATAAAACTATGTTTCCGGATTTAAATCGCGTATGTTTGTTTATTTAAACAAACCAAGCAACGTGTTAGGCCGTTTACTTACTATAGCATTAGGATTCATTTAAGTATTTCTTTGTTTTCTTTCTTGGCTGGCACCGACTCCAAAAATAACTAATTACATAATGGAAATATTTAGGTATTAATATTTTTGAGTGGTAAAGTAAAACTTCAAACTGATCAGTAGGTGGCAGCATATACCAATAATAATATTTTATTGAAATTATAGGTAATAGGTTTGGACAAGAATTGTTACATTGTAATTGTATAAGTAAACCATAAATGTAGGTAGATTGATTAATAATAACCATATATGGACAAAAAAGTATACTTAGTAAATTATTATTATACATATAACTAATAAGTTATTATAATACTGTGTACAAAACGAAATGAGACAAAAACAAACAAAAAGAATTACGTGCATTGTTGTCGTTTGGATTAAATATATTTTGTTATATATATTTCGCTTTTTTGTGTAGTGTCTGTTTGTAGTTTTTCAAATTGGACGTTTTTTTTAAATGTTTGTTTATTTACTTGAAAAACAAATATACGTGTTACCTGTGCTAACCCTTCACAATGACGCCGCATACCAACAGTGATTGTAAAAGACCAGTGAATCATTAGTAAAATTCCCAAAAGTTCAGTGTGGAAATTAATCCACGTAACGTTTTAGAGAGCACTCAATCGCTGAAGCGAATCGGTCAATTAGCATAATTCGTTTTAAGGCAAACCTATGCAAGGGTTTCATTAATTAAAATCTTATAAAAAGGACACAAATCGCCTTTTTTTAAAAAACCTCCTTCCGGCGGCTAGTTCCGTAATTTGCGCAATAATATTTTGTTCCGCAGAAATAGTTTCATTTCCTATCAAGCTTACTGCTCCACATTGCATCATATTGAATACGTCATCATGGTATGAATCGTCAAATAGAATTTCGCTCTTATTGGAGGGCTATTTGCCTATTCTCATTCATCGCTAAAATGTCCAATGACCAGCGACTTAGTTCTATAAAACAATCCCGGTAATCCATCATTTAAATGAAAGCGTCGTAGAATAGACCACACAGACAGTATGGCGTCATGCAGTCTCGTTTCTTATATAATTTTCAACCTTATAAGTTTTATTACAAGGCTTTACGATGTCGAATATTGAGCATTGACACGCAAATGTTGCGTGAGCAAAAATATTAATTCGTTGCGTATCGATGCATAGCATTTTCTATGGAGAAATTATATCTTTACATTTTCTGTGCAATGATATAATAAATGTTTGGAGTCAGCCTGCTATCTAAAAAAGTAACTAGATATAAACATAACAATGTTATAGTCAAAATATATAACAGATAAAGTTTAGAGGGTTTGGACATGTTGAAAGAATGAATTAAAGATTGATGAAACAGATTTTTATAAGACGAATATGAGCAGGCAAGATGGTAAGGGTCAACTAAGGCGAACTAATCACGATCAAACTGAGGACGTTCCAAAGAAAAGCCTGGTCAAGAGTTTTCTTAACCGTCGATCGTATATAAAAGCACTGATGCGTATTGATAAGGCGAATGAGACCAATCTGTCCCATTTATACTCTTAATGGCAATGATATTATACTTGTATTATGCTCACTGCTTAATGGTATAAGTGGGACAGGTAAGTACCATTTATACCATTGTTTATTATCCAATGGTATAACTGGGACCAACTAGTACCACCTACATAGGGCACACTATAAGTTTCCGGAACTTGCCACTTCGATAAACAATATTTAAAAAGTAATTACAACATTTGAAAATGGAATTCTTTGGCTGTAGAATACAGTTTGTTTTATCCGAATGTCACTTGTTTTTACTTTGTGGCGTCATTTTAGAAATTGGTTGTCTATATCATCATGAATTTCACTCGTAAAAATTTTCGTAGTATGATTTCTACGACTTTAAGTGTAATTTGATAGCTCAGCGGAGCTTCACTCGGTTTCAAACTGCTTTTGGCGAGGAAGCTCCACGCAAGACAACTATTTATAGCTGGTTTGCAGAATTCGAACGCGGTCGTGTGAATCTCAGTGACAAATTTCGTGATGGTCGCACGTCCATCGCTGTGAACAACAAAAACATCGATGCTGTGCGCCGTATGATCAAAACAGACAGGCCTGTGACATACCATGAGATTCGGGCATCTTTAGGCATAGGCATGAGTCAAATACAATCAATACTACACAAACATTTGGGTGTGAAAAAGCTGTGCTCTCGGTGGATCCCACACAATTTGACTGAGGCTCAAAAAAAAGGATCGCGTCACTTGGTGCAATGCCATGCTTACCAGATTCAACGAAGGGGCGTCAAATTTGGTGTGGGACATAGTAACAGGTGACGAAACATGGATTTATAGTTACGATCCCAAAACAAAGCAGCAATCGAGCATGTGGGTCTCTCGAGATGTGCCGAAACCAACCGAAGTGGCGCGCGTACAAAGTGCCTCTAAGCGGATGAATGCTTCTTTTTTTAATAAAACTGAACACGTTACTTTGGAGAATCGTTGTACCGTGAATAGTGATTGGTACACGACCATTTGTTTGCCGGAAGTTATTGACAAACTCCGTAAAAATAACCGTAAACGCCGTATCGTCTTGCATTACGATAATACCAGTTCTCACACGGCCAGACAGACAAATTAATTTTAGAAGGAAAACAACGTTGACCTTATGAGCCATCCCGCGTACAGTCCCGACCTGGCACCAACACGTAACACTTTTATTTATTTCCAAAAATTAAGAACCAGTTCCGCGGTCTACGATTTTCATCACCTGAAGAGACTGTCGAAGAGTATGAAAAATATGTTTCAGAGATTGTCACGGAGGAGTGCCATAAATGTTCTCAAAATTGGTTCATTCGTATGAAAAAGTGCATTAATGCTAACGGAGAATATTTTCAAAAAAACAATAAATTAATTTCTGACCATTAATAGTATCTTTTTCTTATACATTCCGGAAACTTATAGTGCGCCACACGTATTACCATTACAGGTATAAATGGGACAAGTGATGGTATAACTGGTCCAGAGGGGAAAGGCGATATATTTCAGAACCGTGGCAAGTGGAAGAGTGGTTACACACGGCAACATTTACCAGCGATGCAAACACTCGCTTGCGTCAATACAAACGCGCGATTGCATCGATGCATCACCTATAAATCCCAAGTGTAGCGATGCAATCGCGCGTTTGTATCAATGCAGTCGCGCGCTTGCATCGCATTTGCATAGCTGCTTAAAATCGCGCGTGTATGTAAAGGTAGACGATTTAGCGACTGCATCGTTACTGTATCGCGTTTGCATTTGTTGTTGTTGAGTCTTATTATAGTAGCAGTAGAGCTCCTTGTGAAAGAGTTCGCCCAGGGAAATACTGCCACCTTACCTATTTCTGCCGCCAAGCAGTAATGGCAGCATTACTGTGGTCCGGTTTAAAAAGGTAAGAGTGTTGATGATTACAGGCACATGGGACTTGTCAACTTATATCTCAGGGTGACGGGCGCAGTGGCAGTGCCCTTCAGATCTTTGCGATTTAAAGCTCTGAGAGTGGCACTGCAACTGTTAGAAGTACAGGCGTGTAGCTACCATCGACACGACTTGTTCGTCCCGTCACTTGATATGACAAAAAAAATTTAATGTAATAATAATTTAAAAAATAATTGTTACTGTAAATTGTATGTAATTGTACAATTAGATACGCTGGCATGTTCTCTAGAACAAAAATCCTAAAATTAAATAAAGATTTAAAACAAATCCCGATATGAGAATATGACATATACTAGTGTTGCAACGAATAGTATTTCGCCTTCAGGCCAGATACCGAATTTTCGGCCCGAAGCGAGGCCAAATAGTCGAATATTTGGCCAAACTATTCGGCCTGA